TCTTCTAAAGCATATATCACATATCAACGACTAGATTTCCATTGGAGGTGCTAATAAGACCTGATGGTAGACAAGGCTATTTAAAATTAAATGGCATTATGAGGCCTACTTATTGTGCTATAGGATACTGGCTATCAGTCTACTGTTACCTTACGAGACCTGGGATAATTACAGTTCTTATCCCATATCTACAAATTACGAGTTTCTGGTACTCCCTGACATGTCATGCCGACGTTTTAACTCAGAAATATATTCGATCAATTTTTTGTTCCTTAATGTTTTTCTGCAATTTATCTTTCAGAAAATGTCACCGCATTCTACTCTAATTCGAGTCTCTCTGCCTTCCTCATGAAATCTGAACCAGACCCAGTTGACAGGGGCATCCGGTCGAGTGAACATAGAAAGCCCGATTTATCTCTTTTCTTGGGCAAAAATGTATCATCCTTGAGTCGGACATTCGGGACGCCCACACTCGATGCCTCGACGGTCGAATCTGCCAACAATGCGTATACCGAAACTAGCATGCAGAATGACTCCCCAAACCCCAATACTACAATAAGCGTTACAAACAGTTTGTTTCCTCACACAAGCTGTTTAGAAGATGCTCTTCAGCCTAGCTCTGGCCAGCCTGGGATCAACTCACCCAATTTTCTTGCTTCGTCCAGCTCACCGCCTGATCTCCCACTGATCTCCACCTCTCTCATAAGCTCTGTTGACACTAGGCCTCAAGCCTTCTCGGCTACAGCTACAGCTTCCTCAGTCTCGACTTCTTGCCAGACCACACAGACAGTCTTTCAGCCATCCGGGCTAAGGCGAGATCATGGCACTACGGATTTTGTCATGTATCCAGATAAAATCTGTCAGATTGGGCCAACAGAGGCCAAAAAGTCAATAAAAAAGTCGGCTGAGACGGCCTGGTTACGCCAGCCGAGTGCTTCGAACCATCGTGTCGACCCGGGCTTAGCCTTCCATGCGCCATGCTTGATGACCGACGAGGCATGTAACAGAGAACCAACTGCTTTTGATAGGAACCGTTTGGAAACCTCGAACTCAACTGGAAATAATCCCGTTGCTACCTTGCTTCTATCCGACCAAGCTGATAGTCTCTCACTTCGTCACAGGAGCAGCAGGCAGCTTGAACTCGTAAGTCTTGTGGTTTGCCGAGAATAAATTCCAGGTGCTGACGTCATGATAGCCGGCATTGTGAAAATCTTCAGCATAATTTTACTTGAGTCTGTTTTTGTTGACTGACGAAAATGTTTCATAAGAATTCGAGTATTTTTTACCACACCCTTTGATTGTGATAACTACCAGTTATCAGTAGACGCACATTCGTGAGGTTTCTTCGCAATTTTGACAGTGGACTTTTTATTTTTAGGAAGAAGTTGGCCTGAAAGGGATTGATAAACTTGCCCCACAGCAGACTGAAAAAGAAGTTGGGACCGCTGACTTGTCCGTTGAGGACTTATTTAGACAAAAAACAGTCGTCTCTCCGAGGCAGGCTTTTTCTTTCCTTCTATTAAACTTTTATTTTGAAATAAACAATCTAGTGGCAAGACGCAAGACTCGAGACGACGTACTTAGTGATCTGACTAATATTAAATGCTCT